AAAAAAAAAAAAAAACCAAAAAAACCACTAGTTTTAACTAGAAAATCTAACTTTCTCGTATGGCACAATCTAGTCAACAACCGTGGTTTCGCGTAAAATGTTACAATGGAACTGCTGTTTCACACTCGCATGAAATCCCTATTTTCCCACTCGTAACAAAAACAGTGACAGCTCTAAAGAACCCCAACTCTGCACCACTGCACCCGCCCAGCAGTGCACTTCGGTGGGCGCTTGTTGCCCACAGAAGCTGTGGAGTCTCTTTCCCTAAGGGCATTCCAAAGCCGCCTGGACACGATTCTCACGGATGTGCTCAGGGGGTGTTGGGCTAAGTGACCTCCAGAGAACGACGAACCGGTAAAAGCCCAGCATGTAGAAAAGGCCAGAAGTCACCSCTCACCCCGCGCCCTGCGGGTACCTGCGGCCGCCCCACAACGCCCTGACCCCGGCGGGGCCGAGCCCCGGCCGCCGCTGCCCCGCCGCCCGCAGCGCCACCACCATCGCCATGCTGGAGGCGCGCCGGGAGCCTTCCCGCGCCTAGCGAGGATGACGTATTTTCTCCGCGCCCCGCAAAGCATCACGGGAAATGTAGTCCGTCCCCTCAAACCGCCTCCTTATTGGAAAAACGGGGTATGTGTGGAAATTTTCATAGGAAAGGGTGTTCTTTGATGTTTGGCCTTTGGGTGCTCTCAAGCCTAGCCGGCAGAAAGGGAGATTTTGTCCGTGAGCCAGAAAGCAGCCAACAAGTTCTAACATGTGTTCAGGTGTTGCAAAAGTAAATTACATGTTGGCAGAATTGCTTTGTTAAAAGTGTAGGGCTGGACAGGCTTCCGTGATGTCAGACCYAGGGGAGGTTAGCACGGCTTGGCAAGRAGGATGTACCTCTGATTGTGGTCACAAAGAATGCACAAGGACATTTGAGTGAACCCCCAGACAAGGAACAAACTAATAAAGCCAACBCAGCAAATGTGCTGAATCAGCTCTGGCAGGGTAAAAGATAAATTCCAGCAGGGGTAGATCAAGGCCAGCAACTCAAGGAATCACTGACTGAAAAGGGAGAARGACTGAGCATGCAGWTTAATTAGCATGAGAAGTGAGAGGATCATTACCTAACAGCAGAGAGAATGCTAATTATTATGAAAACTAGGTAATTTGTACTTGATGAATATTAATTCCTTCGTTTACTAAAATGTATAAACAGGGAAAAAAWTTGGTAATCCTGGTGCTGATGGTGGCTTATAAAAAAGAGGGAGARGGACTTTTTACACACACAAATAGTGACTGGACGAGGGAGGACAGCTTTAAAAGAGGGGAGAGTAGACATTTGGAATAAATTCTCTACTGTGAAGGTGGGGAGGCCCTGGCACAGATTGCCCAGGGAAGTTGTGGCTGCCCCTTCCCTGGAAGTGTCCAAGGCCAGGTTGGACAGGGCTCAGAGCAACCTGGTTGGTAAAAGGTGCCCCTGCCCATGGCTTGGGGGTTGGAACTGGATGGGTTGGAAAAATATGATCTTTAAGGTCATTTACAATGCAGATGGTTCAGAGATTGATCTTAGCTCAGTGTCAGGGGTGCTGCTCAGGGTGCTGCTCATCGGGGCAGGGGTTTCACTGAACTCAGGAACGTGGAGACCCAGAAGGGGACCAGAGCTGAACCAGGACAGAGATGTTATTCCTGACCCCAGCATTGGCTTCTGAGGTGTTTTTTGGCATATCACATGTTCTTCGTTCATTGTCAGGACAGACTAAATACATGCCTTAATTATGCAGTGACTGGATCCATGWGAAGGAGTTTGGCTGTTTATTTATTGCCTCTGTGACACATTGGCTGCTAACACAGAGGACGCAAGGATGTGGTTACAGGGCAGTGATTTTGCCTGTTTTCCCTGTATTTGTTGGCAGGAGCAGGGAGTGCCTGTGGCCAGGAGGAGTGGCCAGCAGAGAGAGATGACCCTGAAAGGACAAGGGGTCTTTTGGGTCACCTGGCCCTGACTGTTTAGGGGGCTGCTCCAAGGCCTCACAAGTTGATTGGTGTAGCACGTAGACAGGCARATACTCTTACATAACCTTAGGCCTGCTGGTTTCGCCATTTATACCTTTCTTTTCTATGACAGCTGTCTGATTGTGCTTTATCTAACAAAGCTTACACATTTAACAGGGACACACCAGGTGCCAAAGGTCAAACYGTCGATCTGCAATATCAGCCTGATCATTCAAGCTACACAACAGATAGGCGAAGATGCCTTCCTGCATACTTTGTGTTAATTATTGTGGAAAATGCCACTGTAAAAGCACTTTGGAGGGACAGTTTTTGCACAGATGTGTCAACATATGCAACCCTAACACAGTGTGTACCTGCCTCATCTCACCAACCAAGGCTCTCCAGAGACACAAGATACTTCTGAAGGCAGTGTTGTTTATCTGTGGCCAGAGTCCTGTGCACTGCTTGCTGCATACATCTCCCAAGTGTTTTAGAATCTGCCAGACTTCTGTTGGCAGGATTAACCTCTCCAGCTGTGTCACTATTGGGTATTACCCTTTGAGATCCCCAAAGTTTCCCAAGCTCACCAGCTGTAACACTTTGTGACTTAATCTTTGCAGACACTACTGAAAGCCACAGATGCGGTAAAGACACTGCGAAGTTTGCACAAAACAAAAAGAATTGTGAGGTAGAGATTAGTTTTCAATTACTGTTTTATTGACATGATTGAATTCACAATCAGGTTTTATAATTCAGGATTGTGGCTGCAAAATGTGGTAATGGGCAAGGGTAGCTATTTGAATTGCTAGGGAACTACTGAATCTGCCTACTATTCCAGGGACAGAGTTTTTTCAAACTGAGGGAGAGTGGGTTCATGATTCATTGGCAGCTGTTGTTTGTTGTTCGGAAAGAATTCCCTTTCCTTGGAATGTGCAAATGAAACAAGAATATCCCCTTGGTAAATTGTGGGAGTGAAGGGTGGAGAGGAAGCTTATGCATTTTATCTCCAGTTTGGTGTAGGGTAAGGGAAATTAGATTTCTATGGTTTTCTTTCATTTTTGAACGTCTTCCATCTTGTGAGAAGAGACAGGAGGAAGGTAAGTTCCCGCACTTTCAGTAGGTGTAGCTGGCAGTAAACAGTGACTGTGTGGCAGCTGTGTCAGTCTTCCCAGACAGGACATACTGTCCCCTGCAAGCCAAGCTGTTAATCTGAAAAAGAAAATTTAAAAAAAAAAAAAAAAAAGAGAACAATCAGCACAGACTAAGAAAGGCAGATGTGGAAAGAACAAGCACCAGGAGTAACCAAGCAAGGCAGAAATAGCAGAGTAATGCCCCGATGAACATGAAGCACCTGGATGAGCAGGGTCAGGGGAGCTTTTGGAAGGTGAAAACATTGTCCCTTCATGGAGGGCAGCTCTTCTCTGTGCTGGAGGAAACCTCATACCTGTGCCCGCTTGCGGAAGGCCTCTTGTGCAGCCTTCTTGTTCTCATTTTTGCCCAGCCATGCGGCCAGGGCAGAGGCTTGCAGGGCTCTCCCGTATGAAAAGGTCAGTTTCCAAGGCTTAGGCAGAGGGGACTGATTCATGGCATTCAGGTTGACAGAAGCCTCCTCTTCACTTTGACCTCCAGACAGGAAGCAGATTCCTGCAAGAAAGAGGTTTTGAATATTAGAAACAGATGTTCAACCACCTCAATCCCTGACCTTTACATGTCAGAGGAACAGACATGTCAGAGGTAGGAGAGAGAGAGGGAATGAAGAGATAGGAATGAATCGGGAATCACCAGGAACAGCAGCAGGAACCGTGCGGAGGAGAGTAGTGACAGTTGCTACAGCTATATCCTGAGGGGTGTACTTCTTRGAGCAGGAATGCCCAGCCGTCACCATGTTGGGTTTCAGCAGTGTCCCTTCCAGGTACACATGATGATCATTCAAAGCCTTGTAGACAGCAGCCAGAACCTGAAAACAGKATTGAATACAGACCTCTACTCAAATCTTCATCACAGCATACTGTGAAATGACAGCTTATTCTTTGGTACTATAGCAAGATCAAATTTAATTTTGCTTTCTTATGAAATTTATCCCAGGGGTTGCAGTTGTAAAGACCCCACTGCTTTTGAGATGACCAGRATACAACTCTTATATTTACAGGATTTGTCCCTGAAAACTGAGGTACTGAAATTGAAGTAATTGSGTTTGGTCCTGATACAGCTTTCTGAGATTGAGAATGTTTATATTGTCATTGAAGTGGAAATCCAAAAGCATGGAAAATACTCTTGCATTTCCTATTAGTTTATTATTTGCCTAGGAAAAGCTCATTTCTGTGATGCAGTTAGGAAGTACATTTTTTGTGGAATCTCTTTGAGATCTGTAAACATAAACTGCATGAAGTTTAGCTGCTGATCTGTGAGGGGGAAGAGAGAGGGAGAAAACTCTTACCTTCTCTGTGACATACTGACAGCGCTGGAGATCATGGTCTCCATCAGGAAGGATTTCTGGCTCCACAATGGGCACCAAGCCATGCTAAGAAAAAAAAAAACACAGAGGATTTTCTATGGGAGTAAAAATGTTCTTGTTGTTTGCCTGACTTTGGTGTTATTCCGTTGTGCTGCACTGCCCTTCCTCCTCATCTTTCCCAAAATTCTCACAGAGATTCTCCTTTCAATATACCTAGGATGTTATCACAAGGAAAAGAGAGAAGGGGCAGCAGCATCTCAGGAAGGGTTGCTRGAGGGAAGTACCTGCTGGCAGATGCTGGCATAGCGTGCCAGTGTGTTGGCATTCTCCTGGATGGCAAGCTGAGAGGGTGTTGTGCTGGTGATCTTCAGCACTGCTCGCCACTTGGCAAAGTCAGCGCCATCCTTCTTGTACTGKGCACAGCGCTCAGCCAGTCCATCCAGCCCTGCCAAGGGAGAACAATGCTTCACTGAGAGCTGCTCTTCAGCACACAGCTCTGGAAAGTACCRTGACTCCAGCCAAGGCTGCATCTCAGGTGAGTCACCCTATGGCTTTTGCTGCACGCATCATAGCTTAGGCTCCTTAGATCTCTCCTTACCCTGGATGGTGGTTTCTCCATTTGTTCCCGCCAGAGGTGCTGTGCCTTTATCCAGCTGTGGAGATCAGAGAAACAGGTAGGGTTACAGAAATCACTCTAATCTTTATCTTCTCACCCATCTTTAGTCTGCTTTTGAAGGATTGTGAGTAAAGCACGGACCTTAAAATGCTCAGGGTGCAAAGAAGGGGAATGTGGGCACAAAGGGGAAGAAGAAGTAGAGAACTGGGTAAGAGAAGAGGCAGTGTGTGTGTAGGTTTCTGCAGGGAATGGCTCAAGAGCTCTTTCAGATGTGGATGTAACTAAATTTAAGTTACTGCATGGAGGGACTTACTTGCAGTGCAAATGTGCCTCTAGTTAGTTGCACAAAAGCAATGCAGAGAATTATAAAACCAAGGACAAAAATGGAGGGTGGGAGTGTTTTTCAGGAGACAGTGCAACCCTAAATAATTTTCTCTGGAAATGGGGTTTGGATTATGGTGCCAGCCAGGCACA